GAAATAACAAAATTTTGTCGATATCGCTAACAACTTAAAAATATTCGTCGCTTAGTTAGCGATTTTTCGAGTAGTTTACGAACTGGTTGGCGTGAACATCAGTAAAGTCGGAAAGTAAACGCGTTGGAGATTACATTTAAGTAAAGTAAATTGTGAAAGTTGATGCTAGTGATTGTAAATAGTAAAGTGCATTATAATTGTATTGTGAATTACTGAGAAAATAAAGGACATTAGATTAATTCTTTATAACGAAAGAAACTGCAAATTAAGTTGTCGAGTTTTTATTTAACAATCCAGAGATCGTACCCGAAGGATTCAGAAAATCATCGAGGTTGAGTTAGTAAAATCGTAACAATATGTAATTTATTGGTACATCTATAATTTTCTTCTTACGGATATCATTTGAAACTATTAATTTTGAAATTAATTACCCTTACATATTTTACATAATCTTTCATAAAATTTTCCCAACTTACATAACTATCCTAACCTACAATTTTTTTTTAGATAGAAATAAAATTTCAAAAAAAAAATTATAATTACAATGAATTTGCTTAGTCCTGTAAACTTTAACTTCTAGAAGTTATTAACAATGGCTGTTTATTATTTTCATAGTATTTTACTTCTGCAAAAAATGCCATGTCTTCGCGGAAGAGCAAAAAATATTGGTCGACGTTCTCATAATGCGCAAATGGTCCGTAACCACCGAACGAACAGAATAGTGGAAGGGCATATGCCAATATAAGAGAACAAATGGCAAATTCACGTGCAAGTGAAAATTTAGAGCACCGTAATCAACGTCTTCATGCTAATACATTAAGGCAAACAGAGGCACGTCAACGAGTGAATGACGCTCACAAAGCAAATGACCGACAGCGGATCCAAAATCGTCGAGCATTGAGACGAGCATCATTTAATCGTCTTTCGTTTGAATATGATCCTGAAATAGACTATTGTCATTCTTTTATATACAAAGGTGAATCGCCCGGTTTATATTGCGCATCAGGAAAAATTTCTCTGCCATCACTGATGCCGCCACCAGAACCTTTAAAACGCTATTAGCTGGAAACTCATCTCAATCAAAGTTATTTTGCGCAAAATTCGTAGATTTAATTCTTGCTTCAAAATGACCTCATTTGGAGCAACGAAAATTATTCATAATGCAGTTTTGCAATTTTGAAGCGACATCCAAGATTCAAGGCCTAGTGTACCACCAAATAGGTTCATTGCTTCCGATGCCTGACTTAATGGGCTATGAGGAAAAACTAGCTAATACACGCTGGAGGAATACAATAACCAATCAGTACGATTTTTCAAGTTTATTTCAAACAGTGTGCAAAACGGTAACTGCGTCATTGTCATTAAAACCGACAAAGTGCCCAATCGAGAGCATTCAGGCACATATAACGTTCCAACTGTGAACGAAGGTGCTGCTACAGGTGAAGTACTGGCCAAGAATTTTAGTGCAATGATGATTCATGCTAATAAGATAATAACATTTTCCGATGCCGACAGCTATTTCACCAGTATATTGTCGATATGTATGCGAAAAGTGAAAGTGGGATATTGCTGGCTTATGGTAAAAACGAGGATTACCACATTCGCATATTTTGATTTGGTTAGTGGATAAAGTGCGCACAGAAGATTATTCATTGGAAATTTCGGATCCAAATGTTTATCTGGAATTATTTGATATTGGGACTACTAACATGATTAATGGGCCATGTGGAACTGTAAACATGACATCACCATGTATGGAGAATGGAAAATGTACTAAACTTTTTCCAAACCATATACTGCTGATACCATCACCAAAGGAGACATAGACAATGGAGGTCAAACATATTAATTTGCGTCTGAAAAATAATGTAAGAGTAGATATTGATAATATAATAGTTGGGCGGTTCCATATTCACCATTGCTAAGTATAACTTACAAAGCACATATAAACGTTGAATTATGTAGTGCGGTGAAGTCTATATTTGTTAATACGTTCATAAAAGTAGTGATCAAGCTATACTTGATGTTTAGAATGTAAACGACAATGAGGAAATCACACGTTAGCAAATGGGCAGATACATTAGTTTTCCAACCTTTGTAATCGACAGGATATTGTTGGTCGATTAGCAAAAACATTAATGTATATTGATGTTCTTAAGTATAATATTTCACATGGAACAACAATAAAAAAATTGGGAGCCACGAAAACGAGGCATTCCAGTCCCAGGATTTCCTGATAAATTCATGGCAAATTCTTTAGACCGACTATACACAGTACATCCTGAGTAACATGAATGCTTTTTTCTACGTTTAATATTAATAAACGTTCCTGGACCGACATCCTTCCAATATTTGCGAGCAGTCAAAGATACGGTATGAAATAATTTATTTTGTGCCAGTCGTGAGTTCCATTTATTGGAAGCTGATAAACACTGGGATCTCACACTTGCGTCATTTATTTTCAATAATATTAACAACGTGTTTCCCGTCTGAAGCAAGTATATATATGTACAGAAGTACAGAGATTTATTGTATAAATAGTACTAGCGGAACCGACAGACGTTTTCCTGCCCATACGTCTTAAATGTAAACAATGAGACCGTTATGATATAAATTTTTATCAGACACTTATTACAACGCCTAATGGAGAAGCTGTGTTCAATAAAAAAAGTCGTTTCAATTGAAAGTGATAATGTTCAGTCTTAAACTATTCTATAAAGGGTATTTATTCTTAGAATTAGTCATCAACAAATACTGAAATTGTCGTAACGACATCCTTGAGAGGTATAAACAAATAAATTCGATGGTTTTTTAAATCTAGTCGACAAAAAGTCATTGTTTGACCTTGCGCCTTATTAATAGTCATCGCAAATGCCAAGCGGATTGGAAATTGTAACAGTTTGAATGGTATCGGTGAATCTGAAGGAATCATAGGAATAGAAGTACAACTTGGCCATAAAATTTTCCACTCAAAATAGCGGCTTCAAGAATGTTCCGTTACACAATTTTGGCGCATTCAAGTTTCGATACAAAATTATAGGTGTCAATTGATTTGCATGCAAATTAATCACCAAGAGTTAGTTAAAAGTGAACTCGTTGGCGACAACATCAGGATATAGTCGTAAAGTTAACGCATTGGAGATTACATTTAAGTAAAGTAAACAGTGAAAGTCTTATACAGGTGATTGTAACTAGTAAAGTGCATTGTAATTGAATTGTGATTAATGAGTAAATAAAGGACATTACATAAATTCTTTGTCTGCAAATTAGCTTGGCGACTTTTTATTTAACAATTGGTGTCAGAAGTGGGATTGTTAAATAAATCCCAAAGGATAATATTTGCAAAATGGTAAAGANGAGAGACAAATGCGAATCCAAAGTTGACATTCGCTGAAACTGTTGAGTATGCACAAACACGTGAAGCGGCGGCACTCATAAGCAGACCGTCATACAAAGTCAATAAAGTGGAGGTTGAAACACCAGATGTGATGACGGAAATATTGAGAACTCTGAAATCGCTAGAAGGGATGAATCGTTCTGGTTTCAAGACTCAAGCGGGAAAATATTTTAAATGTAGAAAGCATGGTAACTGCGTACGCGAATGCAAAACAAGTTCCAGCAGACAGAAGGTACGGGGGAAATGGAAGACAAAGAGGCTGCACGCACGGAAAGGATGAAGCTATGTCCCGTCGACCATGTAATATAGTATGTAAACATTGCTCAAAAGCTGAGGGTAAAGAAGACATAATAGATGTCCGGCTAATGAAAGTTACGCAAGCAGAAGAGTGGGAGAAAAGTAACTTAAGAAAATGTCAGCAATGAAATCCAGATTTAGAATTATTAATGCACGGGTTGGAGGTAAATAGGCGACCAAGTAAGGAACCAAAGCTTAGAGTGTGAGAAAATGAAGATGGAAGCTAATAGTAGTTCCGAAGTTAAAAATTTCGGATGTTCTTAAGTAATTCCATAACGGTCCTAGCGGAGGGCACCTAGGCATTACAGAAACGCTGGAAAAGATCAAGCAGCGGTTCTATTGGGTTGGCTGTCGGCAATCGGTCGCGGAGTGGATTGCTAATTGCACGGAGTGCATAGCAGCTAAAGGGGTAAAGTCTCGAAGTCATGGGCAGATGAAGCAGTATAACGCAGGGGCACCATTTGAGCGGGTTGCCATGAATGTAGCCGGTCAATTATGAGCAAACAAGAACAAAACACTCAGTTGCAAGTTAAGTTTGTTACAAAGTGAACTGGTTGGCGTGAACATCAGTAAAGTCGGAAAGTACCTTCGCAATTCTTCTCGCATCGCCAGTTATTCCAAATTTTAAATCGCTGGACAACCGTAACTCACTACCAAACAGTATCCTCGCAGGTGTTTGTCCTGTAGTTGCATGTACGGCAGACCGATATCCCATCAGGAGAAGCGGTATATGCACATCCCAATCATCCTGATGCTTGTCCACTACTTTNGAAACGATAAAACAAGAACCTTCCATAGCGAACAACTCGATGATTCTACACTTTCGTCTGCGAGCTGTCAACTGCTATATAAGGGCGACACTCAGTTGCAAGTTAAGTTAGTTACAAAGTGAACTCGTTGGCGACAACGTAAGTATAGCGGAAAAAACTATTGAGTCGTAAAGTAAACGCGTTGGGAATTACATTTAAGTAGAGTAAATTGTGAAAGTGATGCTAGTGATTGTAAATAGTAAAGTGCATTGTAATTGAATTGTGAATTACTGAGTAAATAAAGGACATTAAATAAATGCTTTGTAACGAAAGAAACTGCAAATGAACAATTCTATCGTATTATAACGATTTTCGGATCGTTATAATGATTTAACGGTAATTTTAACGATTTTGCTATTCTCACAGTAAAACGATTTTCGGATTAGACTCAGCGATATTTTTAACGATAATCGCTATTCCCTAAAATGGTATAACGATTTTCGGATCGCAAAGAAGACTTAACGATATTTTTAACGATAATCCCTATTCTCTAAAATGGTATAACGATTTTCGGATCGCAAAGAAGACTTAACGATATTTTTAACGATAAGTTTTGAAAGTGGGAACCATAATATGTTTTTGATTGGTAAACTTTGAAAACCATTAAAACTCATATATTAAAAATAATTATGAAAAAATTAAATTTTCAGGTGACTCTGGATATCCATTAGAGCCGGGGTTAATGACTCCTCTTCCAAACCAACCTCAAGGAAGTCCCAAATTCCGCTACAATGAGGCATTGTGTAAAGCACGAAACCCAGTCGAGCGGTTTTTTGGCGTTCTCAAAGGAACTTGGCGATGCCTATCTCAACAAAGTGTTAGTGTCAGTGTTACACAACATTCGATTAGGTGACCAAATATATGAGCTTGAGCAAGAGTTCCTAGAAAATAGAACAAATACCATCATTCTCAATCATGAGGCACCATTCTCAACAGCAAAACGCGTCCAAGGTCGCCTGATCGCAAATTATTTCACTTAAACATCAATTTGATAAATAAAAACTCCGGAATATAATTTACATAATTTGTAATTTTATTACATATTTTTGGTAACAAATTCTTCAGTCTAAATATTTTCAACATTTGTACTTAAGTTAAGTTAACTCAGCAAAATACATACAACATACAACTTAATTTAAATGCATAATTCTTTACATATCTCAGTACATAATCACAGATAAGTATTTTTATATGGGTTTAAATACCACATACCATCACATTCAAGTTTCTTAAAGGAGAATCTCTCATGTTTATAACTGCATTACTTCTTTAATATATATACACGTATGTAAAGAGAAATTGATCATAGTATATCTAATTTGAAGTCAGATATAAACTCAAGTATAAAAAATACTCTCCAAAACTAATTTAAAGAACTTCTTGTACTATGTTTAAATTAACTCTAATTTAAAAAATATAACTTTAAACTCCATAATATAATATATTTACATACGGCTAATTGCGTCGGCTAAATTGTTGAAGGCAGCTGCACAAGCTTTCAATCCTTCACCCATTGTGGTCATAGCATCTGCCAATGCCTGCGTGGTCGCCGCATTGCTTTCAGCTAACAACTATTAAAAAAAATAATACGCATATTTACGATGTAATTCTATAGCATTTAAAAAAAAATTACCTGTAAGGCATCAGCTTGCCTGCTTGCAATTTGGGTGGAGGCTGCAAAGCGAAACGACATGAAAACATATTCCAGATGTGTTCCAAATGCAGAAATACTTACTTTTAAAGTATTCGCTTGTGTTTGCGCAATTTCTAAAAATGCGTTTCGAGTATCGCTCACATCTTCCACACGTCTTCTCCTACTGCTTCTACGTGGAGTTTTTGAGGCTTGAGTCGCAGGAGTCGATGCATGCATTTCCAAATCGACCCCATTTGAAAATGAAGGCATCTCGATAACTATGCTATCTTCACCCTCCTCTAATCGAAGTTGCAGTTCCTAATATTGAGGAGAATTTTAGTCATTTATATTTATACCAAACTGTTAATTTTTCATTACCTCCTCTATAGGCACCGTTTCAGGAACGTTTTCGTGGCCCTGGACATAGTCATTACCTATAAGGGCAATGACTCGTCTCTCCAGTTCGGTGAGTGGCTCCTCATCAATTGGATTGTTTCCTGTCATCGCCCGCTTTCTTTTCCGGTCTCGGACCTTGATGCTGGTACGGCTTTTCAGATCCCTCCATACCTATTTGTAAAATATAATTTTAACATACTGCCAAATTGCTTAAAAATATTTACATACCGTGCACCATTGTTCGACGCTTTTCACAGCAACACCAAGGCAATTCAGCGTACTAGCTAATTCGCTCCACTTCCTATCGCAGTCTGATTTGCCATTCTACAATTATACACACAATAAGGCATGTCTAATAATACAAAAACAAATAAACGTTTCATTTTACTTACATTTTTCAAAAATATGTTCAAAAGCCAGCCTAAAAATATGTACATACTGTTGCGAAAATGCGAGGCGAATGTCAGATGAAAGAGAGAAGCCGATAACTAGTACGATAAAACAAGAACCTTCCATAGCGAACAATTCGATGCTTCTACGCTTTCGTCTGCGAGCAGCCGACTGCTATATAAAGGCGACACTCAGCTGCAAGT